TGGAAGAGTCGAGCGTGTATTCCCTCGGCCATCTCCACGATGCGATAGACTGTGTAAGTCAAGAGAAGTAGAGATACCATCTCCATTCCTGCCACCCAAGGTAAGGATATATTCCAGGGGGGGATCTAGATGTGCGTATGCTTACCAAGTAAGAATCTCCTGAAGCGAACCGATTTATACACCGGGGAAAATGTAGGAGCCCAGGTGATCTTCTGAGAGCTTAGTCCAATCATGAACCAGAAGTGAAATACGCTGAACCCCAGAAGCGAAAGCAGTTGAATGCCTAGGCCACCGACAACAAGGCGAGAGCCCCCAGTTCGCTTCCCCAGAAACGTCAGTATAGGAGCCATCGCATCCATCGGGGACAACCAAGACTTACCCCCATGCCATTGAAGTCATATGCGACAAAGATCATCCCGACGACTTGAACAATCATGGCCAACGCTGCCAGCGCATAAGTCACAAACCCGATCAACAGCGGTCGGACCGGGCTAAGGTGCTCCCCATATACTCGAATAACGTGCGGCAGGGTCAAGAAGATGGCGCCGCCCATCAAAGGCGGGCCTATGACGGTGCCCGCCATCGATAGTACAAAGAATGCTGGGGCTTTCGGAGAGCCTTTGAGGAGGAGACGACCGGCAAATCCGATAGCCTCGAGCAATAGGCCGACTGCTAATGTCGCCGAGAACCATGGCGTCCGGTATCGAAATCCCAGGTAGGTGGCGGCTAGGGCGAGGATGCCGTACGCGGCAAGAAGGACAGAATCCCCAACCAAGGATTGATCATAGGAGTAAAACCCTGTCGGCACTGGACAGGTCGAGCCACAACCGTCTGCCATTGTGAAAAGTAGACGGGGAGCCGGCCGTGCCAGTCATCACAATCCCGAAACTAGTAAGGCTGTGGTTTGTTGCTGAAGAACTCGGGAGCGGGAGCGCTAAGCCTGGGACGCTCATTATTATGTAGGTAATATGGCAGAATCAGCAAGGCAGCAATGCAACCCACATATGACAGTGCAGATGAGCACTGATGTGTGCTGGAGCACCAATCACTACCGCGACAAATCAAACACTTCAGCCCGCGCCTCCCCTGCCTGCCGTGGTATCACTCGACAGTGTGTCATGCACGAGCAGGCACAGTTACTGGGTTCAGAGGCCCGCACGGGTACCGGAGTGAGCCTAATGGCTATGTATGGTTGGGAAATGGAATAAGGCTGCGGTAATGCGTGAGCACGAGGGAAAAGCAAGGCCAAATCAAAGCCCCAGAAACCTTGGCGTCAGACAATACAAGACAAACCGTTGAGCCGGCTGTCTCTTGGTCTACTTGGTCAGTCCATCCCACCGAGACAGAGATAATCATATGAGCAGCGGAAGACACGATACAGTGCTACGAACTGTATGTTGGCCCTTAGAGGCCCCGTGATGAGGGGGCAGAAACCCGACAGTTCGGAACACCCCACGGTGACCTTGGCAGGAAACGCAAATATGTCTCAGAAGGACCAGTCAAAATGGGCTGATCGGCTGTTGGCGCCAAATGACTCCTACTGTAACATTCCCAATGATACCTCCGTGGCGAGAAAGCTAGGTATGAAGGTCTATGGGAGACAGGTGGTTGACGGATCTGTCACATCTGCTTATGGTTAAAGGTGCATCAGACAGACGTACGCAAAGCCTTTCACTTACACAGCAGAACATGATCGAGTCGGCCACCAAAGGCTCTTTCTTGCAAATTGCGCAACCAAAGGACTTGCGACTGGCCCCCAAAACAACCTGCCTGCAGGTGTCCCGTAAAGAGAGGAGTGGGAACTTTTACCGCCAGGCAACATTGAGCCGATGACCGTTTGGGGACATCATTGGCCAGAAATGCCTCCAAGCGACCTCGGGGTAGCATGGGAGGTGCAGAGCGTTGCATCCGGCGGTTGCGGAAATCTGCGGCCATTTGACAGAGACAGGGCTCCTATGCAGTTGGTCGCTAAGTGCAACGAGAAGGGAGTCGCTCTGGCCCCAGAGTTGCATCTAGATGAGGGGCTGATAGATAGATGAGGATTCGGAAGGGCAGGTAGTTTATGCCGAGCCCGCAAAAGCCCCCGGCGCAGGCAGCTCGTGTTATGAAATGCTGAACCAACATGCATATGAAATACCCATTCACCTGCCAGTCGCGTCCAGTGCGAGCCCGCGGACAGCCACGCATGAAGGTCGGGCTATGCATCCGGCTGTTGGTTCGCCCCTAATGGAGGTGTCACGACAAGAACAATGGGAATGGGAACCCCAATGCCACGATAGCTCATTATGCTGCAGGCGCATCCTTCCTCCTCCGCGACAGTCCGCTTCGAGACACGATGGTCGCTTGGATGGTCGCAGCGACGGCCTGTGATCACAGGTGCAGCGGCGGCAGGGGTCAGCACCCGGGACCAACAGCGAGCTACCAACAAGCTACAGTGTCTTGCTTCGGGCAAAGGGCGGGATGTACCGCCCGCATACCAGAGGATCACTACTCGTTGCGGCCAGGCAGGGCCGAATGGGGTGGTCAGTGTATGCTGTGGATGGAGGAATGAAATGAATATTGGCCTTTTGAGTTTGGGGTGTTTGGTGGCGTTGCATCCGCCTGTCTCCATCGCCGTCAGCAGGCGCCACCCCTTCCTTACCCGGGACCACCTTTGGGCCACCAACAGTCGGAAACATTATTACCGAACACAGCCAAGAGCAAGGTAAATAGGATCTGGCTTCGTTGCTGAGAGTGTACAGGTTTTTTGTATTGGCGGCAGTGGATCGATAGGAGACGATCTACTCGAGTCAGATGTTGTACAATCCAGCCAATTCCCTCCATAAAGAAGCAAGCAGTTGGCGCTGAGAATACTCAACAATTCTCTTTCCATAAAGCCAACAAGCCGCGGAGACAATCCATAGACACACTCAAGAGGAGGGGTAACATTTTCATAACTGGCTAGGCCATCCGTGCTTTCATTGGCCCAGTTATCAGTGTGAAACTACACTAGGTTGGCCGTGGATATGTTTGATGAAGTATATGTACACAGTCTCGTTCATAGCACGGGCCATTCACACCTTCCCAGTCAGCGATGTCCGTGGTGAGACTTACAGACCACTCTGACTGTGTTAAAAACGGCTGTGGACGCAGGGGAACCTCCTCGAACGCCCCATTCTTACAGGTAGGGCACGCAAGTTCCGATCAGGTAGCCGGTCACAACGATCCCATGACGGCGCAAGGACGGTTGCATCCTAAATAAACCACTGAGCGCGGTTGAGGGAGTCGTCCGAGACCTTGGCATATACTATCTAAAATACAAGCACCATGAAGTTGAGACAAGCAAGTTTACCGGGATCATCTCAGCTCCAGCCACACCAGAGCTTGTGACTGGGTACTTCCTCCAATTACAGGTTCTTAATGCAAATTTCCTAGTGAGTACAACATCAGGAGCCTCGGTAAGGGTTCGAATTTACCGAACTGGATGAGTCTTTCCACCCCTTTTTATTGATGGTGAATCGTGCAGTGCTCCTCTTCTTGGCCAACAAGTGGGTGGATGTCGGTATGAAGTTATTCATGTAGAGACAAATATCTAGAACTCCAATAGCAAGTGTCTACCTTTGAAGAGGACTCTGTGGTTTACACGACTTATGGCGGCATGCATGACTCCGAACGGCTTGACAGTGCCATTTTGAATCACGGCTTTTTCGAAGGGCGGCTGAGGATACTAATTCGATCCCTCACCAACGAAGCCTATGGAATTCCTCTTATTCTCCAATGTCCCACTAACGATTCAGAATAAGATCTGGCATGCCGCAATGGAGTTGGTTAGGTAAGTCTCTTTCCATTTGGCGACCGGCTTTATAATGCCGCCAAGCAAAGATCAAAGGTCCATCAGGATTCTCGAAAAAACGCCCTCACGACCCATTGCTATAAATTGACACAATTGCCATTATCAGGCCCGGGGACTCTCCAACAGTTTCATCCCCTCACCACTGCTGTGAGCCAGTGATTGGTGGTGGAGATGACTTCCATGGCATTGACTGGAATCCTGCGGTGGACATTACTCCTACTAAAGCCGAAGTTGTCCAATTTTGCCAGCCAGGATTCATAGACCCCTATACTGAGAGGCAAGCCAAGATAATAAAACACCTTAACCGAGCCAGAATTCTGCGATGGGTCTACGTTCAGGATTCCCTTACTATATATGCAAAATCATCAACAATCCAGCTCTTTGATATCTCTATATGCTTTTTCACGTAAGCGTGATTTGTTTCGAAATTTCTCCTAGACGGTGGTTAAGTGTAACGGAGCAAGCGACTTTCTGCTCTATAACCGTCAACATTTCTTGGTGGTTTTGGCTAACAGCCTAACATGTCATAGGTATGCAGAGAAGCGTAATGGAGACTGGCTCCGCTCACAACAGGGGCCAGCCAGTCAATTCTCCCTCTCCATCATAATTTGATCATTGGGAGCAATCGCTGCTGGAGTCGCGCTATCCACGATTGGAGATCAAGTTGGCTGCTCTCGGCAGCGTCGGATCATGGTAGAACAGATGGGAGAATGCGAGGTGGTCTCTGGTCAATTGATTCGGGGGTAAGCAGTCCCGACCGGGTACTTCAGCCACAACAAGCCGCAGCAGCACGGGCATTAGTCACTCCCAGCGTAAGTGCCACCTGAATATGCTGGAGGGATTGAGGCGCTGGGAACAACAGTTTTCCCGAGCTCCCCACCTCAGCCATCACCGCCCAGGGCAGCTCCATGCCAAGCCGCTTCGGTGGCATGGAGCAGGCGCCTGTGTCTCGCAGCAAAGCCCGCCATCGAGCACAGCAAAAAGACGCGTAAACCATCGTCCTAGAAAGCCCCGAGCTGCCATGCCATGCTGAGGGCGCCGCAGCGTATATATTATTGGTAGACCTACTACTTTCACCGGAAGCCTCCTTCAGCATCCCAATATTCTTACCCCTACCCACCGCAACTGGCGCCATAATAACCTGGCACCTGGGTGCTGACAGCCCGCCATGTCCATCAGAATATCTCTTGAAAATAAGCCCGAATTCTACACCAATCTTGATTTCGTGTCTGGCAGAATAATCCTGAATCTCAACAAAGCCGAGGCCATTGGCAGCATCGTCGTGAAGCTCGAGGGCGAGGCCATCACTGCCCTGCAGGTCCCTCACCCTCATCAAGATGGCGGGGCACAGAGGCAAGGCCCTCCCCCAGGCCCTCCTGGCACCGTTGTGAGCGAGAACCACAAACTACTCTACAAGGTACAGCAGGTCTTTCCTGATGAGTACTACGCCAGTGGCAACAGCCCCTACGGCGCATATCCGCTTCAGCCTGGTGAACATGAGTTTCCCTTCCAGTTCAAGCTACCTATCAACAATGCATGCAGTGATCCTATGGCCATGTCCAAGATTGGGGGCATAGGCGGAGTAGGCGGCTTTGGATCCGGAGGTGGTCTCTTTGGAGGTGGCTTCAGGGTAATGGACGGGAGCAAGCAGCTGTATCTCAAGCATGTCACCAAAACGCTGCCGCCGTCCGTGACTGGTTTCCCCATGGAAGCCGAGATTAGGTATTATCTCAAGGTTACAGTCCAGCGGCCAGGCCTCCTCAAAGAGAATTGGCGTCATCAGCTGGGATTCAAGTTCCTCCCCATTGAGCCACCTCGACCTCAGAAGACTGGCCAAGAGGGCTTCGCTCGCCGGCCATTCACCTTCAAACCTAAGACGCCCCTTCCAACAGAGAAGAAGTTCAGTTCCATGTTTAAAAAGAGCGAACCATCCGACGGCGCTGATTCTGCCCAGCCTCCGTCTATCGAGATCGCAGCAAGAATACCCCACCCTCCCATCCTGACTTGCAACCAACCCATACCGCTGCGTTTAATCGCCAAGAAGCTCGTCCCGAGCCCCGAGGAAGTATTTCTTGTCTCATTCGAGATGATTCTTCACGGCATCACAGAAGTGCGATGCCACAACATCTACAACCGGAGGGTTAACAAATGGGTCGTGGCATCAAATGCGCAACTCAACGTGCCACTGACAACCTCACCAGAAGACGAGGTCGGAAAGGAGACAATCTTACCAGACGATTTATGGAAGGACATGGCCCTGCCCAACACAGTGTCCCCTTCTTTCGTGTCATGCAACCTGGTTCGAAGATACGAGCTAGAAATCAAACTTGGTGTAGCTTGGGGGCAGCCCGGCAAGTCGAACAAGACCTTCTCACGAGACTCGCCCATGCCCCCCGTCATATATCTTCCTCTGCACTTCAACAACATCGAAGTATACTCCGGCATCAAACCACCGGCCGAGTTGCTCGAGGCCGCGAGGAACTCGCAGCCAGGACGGGCAACATTCGGCATGGGACCTCGGCTGCCTCCCCGGACCAACGCGCAATCAGAGGCAGGGCCTTCTCGACCTCAGCCTCGGCCTGCAGCTCAGGCAGCGCAGTCGTCACAACAAGCGCCGGCCCATCCACCTACATACAACCCGCTATATCCTCCGCAGCTAGCAGCTGACAACCCCGATGCTGCGTATGACGACGCACCGCCCAGCTACGATGAAGCTGTAGCAGAGAACCTGGCAGGCCCGTTCGATGGATTCCAGGAACGGCCAGCTTACAGCGGGATAACAAATGAGAACGCCCCAAGCCAGATGCCTGGGGAAAAGAATTGAGCCGGCGCCATAGTCCTGTAAGACAAATCAGAGACTACTTCCGTACGGTGTTCATAATCTCGTTTGCATAAGTCAAAAGTAGTGACATTACCACGATGTGTCGACATCGACCATAGGCACGTCGTTACCGTAGATCATGGTTTGGGTGTACATTGTCAGGGCTTCGACACCAAGTCAGGGATTGCCAATTCTCTAGGCTTGATGAATGTCATTAGGAACTGGGGTATGTCGAGGAACGGGGTCGCGATCCCTGTGTAGATAGAAGAAGGGCAGCAGCATAGCGTTTGGCGCATGGAACCAGGGTCTTGGTATTTGCGGACGACCTTATGATAGGATGACACGTTTGAAACGAAATAGAAAGACCGGGATGCAAAAAAATACCCTATTTTCATCTGGAAACCGTTCACGATGAAGAAGCAATGTGTCTTGATACGGGAGTTCGGGTATGTTTAACGTAGAATTCCTGCGGGCAGTTTATAAACAATATAGATGTGTCCAGAAGCCGAGGTCAGTCTCTCCGGGAAGTTATGGGTAAACAATAGCAACCGCACTAATAAGTAAACAACAACTGTTTCACAGTGATTATTGAAAAATCCGTTAACAAGTAGGCCAATTATTGTTGAAAATCATCATTGTACCTGGTTGGTGTGCTACGCTTGACTTAACCCATTTGACAGTCCAGTCCCAGCGCAAAGCCCACCCTAAGACCAATGACGTCAGCGGATTAACACAAACCCTGGCAGCTGTCACATCGCTGTATTGCGCAAAATTCATGACCTTCAAATATGCGCCTTAGATCCCCTCACCGAAGTGAATTGGCTCCTCAGAGATGAGCTCACGCCTTGCTCATCATGGCGTCCGCATTGGCTTCAACCCACGAATCATCACAACGACACTAAAAACCAATTGCCCGCTCCAAAGGCAACAACATGTAGGACAACGACGATGGAACAGCAGTCGGGATGTTGACCCTCGGATCAAAGCCCTCGGGAGGACAATCCTCGACGACTACGCCGCTGTTCGCGAAGAATATGGTATATTCCAACCTCACCGCTATGACTCTATCCGCAAACACCAGCAGCTAACCACCAACCCAGCCACGCCGACCTACCCCATCGTCCTCGCCCACGGCCTCCTCGGCTTCTCCGAGATCAAGTTCGCCCAAGCCCTCCCCTCCCTCCAGTACTGGCACGGCATCCAGGACGCCCTCGAGCAGGCCGGCGCCACCGTCATCACCGCCACCGTGCCCCCCTCGAGCAGCATCGAGCAGCGCGCCGCCAGCCTCCGGGACCAAATCGCCGCCGCGCGCCCCTCCGCCGTCAACATCGTCGCCCACTCCATGGGCGGCCTCGACGCCCGCTACCTCGCCTCATGTCTAGCCCCCGACTCCGTCGCCATCAAGAGCATCACCACCATCGCCACCCCGCACCGCGGCAGCCACTTCGCCGATTTCCTCATGTCCGACTCGGCGCCCATCCACCTCCCGCGCCTCTACGGCCTCATCGAGCGCGCCGGGTTCGGCACCCAGGCCTTCAGCCAGCTGACGCGCGAGTACATGACCCAGACGTTCAACGCGACGGTGCGGGACCGCGACGACGTGCGGTACTTCTCCTACGGGGCCATGATGGACGAGCCCGCGCTGCTGAGCCCGTTCCGCCAGCCGTGGCGGCTGATCGACGAGGCCGAGGGCCCCAACGACGGTCTCGTGAGCGTGGAGAGCAGCCGGTGGGGGACGTACAAGGGGACGCTGGTGGACGTGAGCCATCTGGATTTGATCAATTGGTCAAACAGGGTGCGCTGGACGGTGAGGGAGTGGATGGGTGTGAAGAGGACGTTCAATGCGATTGCGTTTTACCTGGACATAGCCGACATGCTGGCTAAGGAGGGACTATAGGTGCGCTTGAGAGGCCGGTGTGAAGCAGGGCATTGTATGATTATAAGCAGGTTGTGCTGGAGTGTGCATCTTGTGCAAGTATAAGCGATGGGATACAGATACGGAAAGGCAGTTGTTCACTAGTGTAAATATAGACAATACGATTCATCATCACCCAAGGTACAGGATTCATTGGTAGAAAGTTCATGATTGCGTTGCTAGGAACAAAATAGGTATCGTAGTACTAGAAAAATAAAGCTGGTTGGTGGTGGCTTCCAACACATTTAAAAGCTGTGTGCCTTCAACCTCGTAGGCTTGGACGACACAGCCTTCGAGCCAGAGGTAGAACAGATCTCATCCTTCCCCTGGTGGCCATCAACCGAAATCCCGCTCACTGGGCCGAGTAGAAATTATGACGGTGAAGGGTGCTGATGAGGAGTTGGATTAAGTGTCTCAGAAGGTAAGGACCAGTGAAACGAGCGGGAGACAGGTCTTCGTAGCTGTCTCCCAGGTTCAGGCCAATGTAGAAAGCGCACCACGAGTCGCGTAGATATAACACCATTTCCGCCGTTGTCATAGGAAGAATCGGACCGTAACAACCTGCAATTCAATCACCCTCCACACATCCACTTGCCTCTGCCTTCGCCAACACCTGCTTCTCTCTCACATGGCCAGTTTAGAAAGTGGCCTTAGCATTCCTGCGCTTCAGCATGGCCTTGTAGATCCACAGGCCAATGAGGAAGATGGCAACTGTGAGACAAGGTTAGATGAGCGTTTAAGGTTCGGCGCGTGACCCTCGGACACCAGAGACACATCGGATAGGGAAAGTTACATACCAACACCAACGATGCAAAAGACAACCATGACACCTTTGTTCTCAGCAGCCCAGTTTGATCGCTTGGCAAGGGCGACCAGCTCGCGGGCGACAAGGGGCTTGATGGCGGCCATTGTGAAGAGTCAAGCGAAGAAAGTATGGGGACTGGTAAAATATCATGTTAGCGCGTCTGAACATTGCAGAAATGAACGGTTTTGTCCCAATTCAGCCAATTGCCAACTGATTTGATGCACCAGATGACGAGAGGTGAATTGCTTCAACCAATCTCTTGAACCGTGCCCGAGCCACCAGGAAGGATAATCCAGCCGTCACACTGTGCTTGGGCGACGCGGCGGCTTTCATTCTCTGGGCGCCGAGAAAGAATTCCTTTCAATTGACTACCCAGGATGGAAGACCGGTTCCGCGAGCCCGACGGCTCTCGAGGACTTGCTGACATTAAAGAGAAAAAAAAAAGTCAAGCGAGCGAGCAAAGCCGAGGCTGTCGCGCCACGACGATGGCGGTGGATTTGGCTGTAGCGCGGGACGGTTCTGGGCAGACAAGGCCAGGGACAAAAGGCGATTGAGCAAGACTGAGCGAAGCGTACCTTTGCTTAGGAACTTGGTGAGAGAGAAGCGGGAGATCTGAGGGTGGTGGGAGGCAGGTGAGAGAAGCAAAGCAGAAGAGAGAGTGGAAAGCAAGCAAAGATGAAGGGCTCGGCCACGGTTTTGTTGATCAGCCTGCCGCCTGCGCAGTAAAAAGGCCGCTCTTCTGAACGCAAGGTAAAGTCCAGAGCATGTACACTTTTAGTGGAGCCGGGTGCCCACACTGTACGTCACGGGCGAACCAGGGCGACCTGCTAGCACATCCAAGCTATGGACATGGCCAGTACCGGGTCCAATCCATGGCTCGCGCCGGGGTTCATCAACCGGTACCAGAGCAAGAGCGAGGCGCGAATAGCACATCAGGCCTCCCACGGCGGAAGGGCGGGTCCCGGTTAGCACCGCCAATTTGGCACGCACCATCTGCCCCTACTGGGAAGCGTGCTGCCATGTCCATGGACATGAAACGGAGGCGACTGTGAGGCAATAACTGCAAGTTCACACAGGCCGTGCTGCTCATTTGGGCCAGATCGGCCTTATTCCCATTGCGATTGGCGAGCGTCCTGAAGCTGGCCCAATTGGTATCAATGGTCGACATGCGACACCTTGCTCACCAACAGCTTCTGTGGCAAGCCAAGTGAGTCTAATAATTTCTTACCCAACACAGGCTACGTTGGCGAGTCACCACATGTGCCAACAAGTAAGGTACGTGTACATGTATTGTAATTGACTCGTAGGTGCCCATAATGAGTGAATTACCATCCGGCGAAACCTCCAGCAGCGATAAGATAGATTCAGCAGCTGGCTGATGTCCTCGGAGGAAGATCGCCCAGGAGGTCCCTGATTCGTGCCAGGAGGCAATTCGGGAGCAACGGCACCTGATAATTGTCGCGGTGAGCGACGGGGTACTTACATAAGACAGGCTTCTGTGCTGCCGAAGGAGGCGACGAGAGAAAAATTGGCACTTTTTTTTTCCGCTCACACCAAACAAGCGTGACGCCGCCGCCGCAGACAGGTGTGCTGTTGCGCGAATTTCGGGACCACCAGCGGGCTGCTTGCTTACAGCGGGAACAGTCAGGTACCTGGCGTGGTACCTCGCTTGGTCCGTGGTGCTCGCCCAAGTACAGCTCAGGTAGCGCCGCCCACTAGGCTGCCTGGGCAGTACCGGGTCCGGGCAGCCCCATTCCTAATCCGAATCCACCCCCCACGCTAGACGATTCTACGCCCGAGCTGCGATAGACATGGAGGAGTCCAGGGAGATTGCGACAGGGTCCCAGCCAGGAACTAAGATTCGTGCAAATCACTCGGGAGCAGATGTGCTTGAGGCGCAACTTGGCTGGCTTTTCTGTCTCAAAGCTAAAATGCGCGCGCACTTAAAAACGACCGCGACGACAGCAATTGCCATCCGGGACGGTCGGGATCGAGGTCCGCGCGGCGCTCTCGTGGCTTTGCACTTCTATCAGGGTCCAAAGTCTAAAACACAGCTCGCAAAGCATTGCCGTACCCTGTAGGAAGAAGAAAAAAAAAACTTGTCGCATCCTTGACCCCGGATTCAAGTCGCGATCATTCTATGACAAGGTGGCCCCACCAGCCCGCATACCCCCAACTGCACACTCGCTCCGACTCTAGCCTGCAAGGGTGCGGGCTGCCTTGTGCCGAACAGTGGCCGCCCCAGCCAATAATTGAGGGCAATTGGCAATCGCTGGCCGACTGTCGAACCTGGAGCGCGACAAACAGAGGCCGTAGGTGCGCCGTAAGCCATCGTCAATGCCGGGTTTCCCCAAATCTCTCACCCAACCGGCGCCTCCGGGTTACTCCAACCACCATCCAAATACACCGTCACCCACTTCCCACGGCTCTCCAGACCCCTACATTCGCATTCGCGACTGAGCCAACACTGGCTCGGTTTACCCACCCTGAATCGTAGCATAAAACCCTCACCAAGATTGTCGGCTCAGGCACAAGATACCGGTCGCCACAAGCGCGACAGTATTCCCATGCTTTCACCGTTTGCGGCCACTCCTTTTGAATCTGACTGAGAAGAGCACCAGCAGCCCACCCTCCATCCATTCCCTTGCGTTATCACGAGACATTCTCACAGCTTGTTTTTGTGCGACAATGCATCTTCAGCCATTACTCCCTTCAGATCATCTAGCCCCCTTTGCGGAGAGTCAACAGGTGGGTGCCTTTAATTGGGAGCGCCCATCATACTACGCCTTCATTATACCTGGCTCCGATCCTGCGACGCCAAGGAAGCAAGGCTGCCACTTATCTCGCTCAAAGTACGACACTCATAAATGACATTGACGATGGGTGGGCTCTGGTGCACGTCCATGATCTATCGAGCTGGGCGGGTCCAAAGCCTCCTGTCGCTATGGCAATTGCAGTGATTTCCATCCAGCGTCCCAGCTCAACCCGGGTGGTCGGCCCCGGCAAAATCGGCGATGCCTAAGGCCACATCCCATCCATCGTCGTACGGTGATCTTGCTCGGTGGGTGCCTTCCTTGTCTCTGCGCACAGGCAAATGAGGGTACCAGCCGGGTACCCAGAGTCGGTAGCACCTGCCCATGTGTCCATCTTCACAGTGTATCTACCATGTGCACTGTCCTGCGGCACTGTCAGATGATGCAGTGACGTGAATGCCGTGTGATGCCTGCTGTACAACCTCGACTTACCGCCTTGGGATAGCTCCCTGTCACCAAACCTCCCAGCATCTATCCCAATATCTGAACCGGACGCACGTCTATTTTGATACCGCCTCACCTTTGTATACACCGCCGATTCACGTAGACGAAGCGGCCATGGCTGGGATTATTTCCAGACTTCGTCGTCTCAACCAGAACAATGTCGCAACTTTCCGCCGTGCACCCCTCACCGAGGTCTCGGGCTCTCTGGGCGATCTTGGCACATTACTACCTCTTATGATCGCCCTGGCTATTCAAGGCTCTATTCAGCTCAGCTCAACCCTTGTATTTACAGGTATCTTTAACATCTTGACGGGTGCTTTTTTTGGCATCCCTCTACCAGTACAGCCCATGAAGGTAGGTACACACTATGGAAGGAACAAAATACCTTCAAGGATGTTGCTGTTCATCTACATTCTGAGCTAAGCTAGGTACTAACTGGCGGCAATAGGCCATTGCATCGGCAGCCATTTCAGCGCGAAAAGATGCACCCATGGCCGTCGTTACCGCAGCTGGGCAATGGGTTGGGGCTGCCGTCGGACTCATGAGTGTCACTGGTCTGCTGCGCCTTTTCGTTCGAGCAATCCCCATTCCAGTGGTCAAGGGTGTGCAGTTGGGAGCTGGTCTTTCTCTCATCATGGGAGCCGGCACTTCTCTGTTGAAGCCTTTGCACTGGGCCTATCCCATTCTGGATAATCGCATCTGGGCAATCGTCGCATTCCTTGTACTCATCGGCACACATCAGCTGCCTCGCTTCCCTTATGCCCTGTTCTTCTTCTGCGTTGCACTCTTATTTGCTGTTATCCAGGTGTCCTTAGTTGGCCAGAGTCTTCCATGGTTCCATATCTGGCAACCAACATTCACTATGCCAGCATGGATAGACAAACACAACTCACGTGCGTTGTGGATGGCTATCGGCCAGCTGCCGTTGACTACGCTAAACTCTATTATTGCCGTGTGTCAATTATCTGCTGATCTTATCCCGAATGTCCCTGCACCAACGGTAACATCAATGGGCCTGAGTGTTGCTTTCATGAACCTCACCGGCACTTGGTTCGGCGCCATGCCGGTTTGTCACGGGGCCGGTGGGCTAGCAGCTCAACATCGGTTCGGCGCTCGTAGCGGAGCTAGTGTAATCATACTAGGTCTTTTCAAACTCTTGATAGGACTCGTCTTTGGCGAGACTTTGGTCGACCTTTTGCGACATTACCCCAGTAGCCTTCTTGGCATCATGGTTTTCGCCGCTGGTCTTGAGCTGGCCAAGGTGGGAAATAGTCTGAACAACGGTGCTCCCGATCTCTGGGAGGCATCCACTGGTGAAGACTCTGAAGTTCTCCGACGGAACCCTATATGGAAACAAAGGGACCTCTCAAACGACGAACGCATGGAAAGATGGAACGTCATGCTGACGACGACTGCCGGCCTGATTGCCTTCAAGAATGACGCTGTAGGCTTTCTCGCAGGAATGCTCTGCTATTACGCATACCGTCTTTCAGATCGTTTTGCTCAGTGGCGAGAGTCACGTTCTAACTCATTGAGAGAGAGAGTCCCTTTGCTACGATGATGATGATTATGGATAATGAATTGCATATTTACATTTGCAGGACTAGCGTGCTTCCTAATTGTACTTTCTTTACCTGAGTCTTGATTTCAGACCATCCTATCTCGTCGCTTGTCTTGAACCGTCTTTGTCTTTTCCGCAACTTCAGTGCTCTCTCCTATTATGCCAAACCATTGATCATAATGACTGCCATGGCTCTGCTTGACCTTGCGCAGGAAGATCTGATTCACGAGGAGAAAGAGGGCAAGACACACGAACATATACGATCCTTCAACAATGATAGTCACCCGAGCTGTGATGCTCCAGTCTCCGTTCTTCTGCGTATAGACCGAGATGAGTGTTGAGATGAGCCCAGCCAGTGAGTTTGCCATGCCAGGCATGAAAAGCCGATTCACGAGCCATATGTAGTTGCGAACATGTACGAGCGCAAGAATAATCATCCCGATGGCCGCGACGGCGCAGCACACAGTCGCAATCACAAGCAGGGGGATATTCTTGACCCCGTCCAGAATCTTGCCTGCAGTCTTGTCGGGGCTCCACGTGTCGTCACCCTTTTCCTCCAGTGAATCCTGGATGCTGGTGAACGTCCCCGGGAAGACGAGAAAGCCAGCGAGCAGCAGCCAGACACAAAACGCGGCTGATATGTTGTGCCAGCGAGAGATGGTATCCTGTGATAGAAGCATCTGGACATAACGAGAATGCTGAGTGTTTGAGCGCTCGGGGACCTGTGGTCTCGTCTCGTGCCGGTGTTTGGTCCTCTTGGCATTTTGCTCCTGAGGCTTTCGGTGAGAGTCTTCCTTTGCCTTCGCCATGATTTCGGCTTCTTCTGGTTTCAAAAAGCGGGTTCGAGTACGTTGGTGATTTGAATTCAGTTATCTAGCATGTGGTTGGCTTACGATTGGGCGGGAGGGTTTCCAGGGTTCTATATACTTCAACATGTCATCTGCTTCTAATCTCTCCCGCTGGGCATGCTTTGTCTTCATTGGACAATAGGCGGCACCGTCATCAGGTTTTGGATCCTGATTTAACCCCTGATGAACCAAGCATCCTAACTGGATGCCGAGGGCCAGCAAGGAAGCGCTGGCCGAAGAAGCAAGCAATGATCAGCGGGCTGGACATCTTTCAAAGGTGGAACGAGAAAGTTGGATGCGTTCTGTAGGGACGGGGAGGCAGGCTCTCTCGAGTGACGTATGAAGCCCGTCCAAATGGATGGTAGGCAAACAGGGGTCTGGGCAGGATGATTGGGAGTCGATAATGCAATCCCACACCGGTTCGTCTTACCATTTCCGAGCGCTTTTAATTGATTGGACAGCAGCCATCGGGGCGCCGTGGCACCCTCACGTTGGGTGTGGCCGACTTCCATTTACATGATCATCAAGCGGGTGCGCTCGCAATCTAGGGTCGCGATCCAATGAATTCATTCAGTCTGGATGGCGCCATCCGAAGAGGAGTTCGTCGGCGAGCTTTCAGAGGGATGAGTTCATGGAAATCTGGGCAACTAGGTGACAGAAGAAACGAGACATCAAGGTTGAAGGTCATTATGGACAGGTCTTTTTGATGATGACTACCTAGAAAAACAAAGCAGTTAAGAAAAATCAGTATATAATCTCTCTAGAATTAATCCATTTTAGCCCTTAATACTCTAGTAATACGAGTCGCGGACTTGACAATAGGCAGCATAACATTTGAGTGCCTCAAACTCAATATTGCCCGCGGAGAAGGTTTGTGCAGTAAACTTCACGGGTGGTTCACGCTCCAACCGGCATGTTCATACGAGGCAATCGTCAAGCTTAGACCAGTGGTCTCCATCTGAGAGAACTGTAAGTGGCCAGAGGGAATTCGGTTGGATGGATATAGGAATTGAACAGATAACTGAGTGGCGTCTTCAAAACTAATTGAGCAAGTTGACAAGCAGTCTAGATGCCTAGGCAATTACGTGTTTTAAGTACGATGGGAGAATAATCAGACGGCCTCACTTGCGAATGAACTGCCGGCGGACTCTGGCGACTGAAACCTTGAAAGAGGAGGCGCCAGACGTCTCTTTTAGCACAGCCTGAGCTAGAGCAGTGGGACCATCGCGTCTTCTCATTGGCCATACCACCTATATCGTGGGCAAGAGCAAGGCGAGCAAGGCGTGCAGAAGGCGCACGGACAGGCTGCTGCATGCTACCTGGGCGCTGGGTACCTGACCTACCCAATGCAATGTAGTGGACAGCCCAGCACTAAGTGGCCGCCAGCAACCACTGCACCGAGCAGGAGCCAGTGAGGCATCAAGTCAGCCCATCCGATTGGGGAAATTTAGTTTCTTCTTTCCCTCTCAACATCAACAACTGCCCCCCACAGCAATCCCATTCCGCGAGCCGCCCAGGCGCAACTCAACGAAGGAGCTGACTCCCTCTTCCCCGGGCAGAGCAGGGCAGCAGCGATGACTTCGTCCAGCGCCGGTCCGAATGGCGCTGGACCAAGCCTCTCAGTTGCTGCAACCGCAACACCAGCGTCCGATCCCGCCATTGCTCCCGTACCGCCGCCGACTTTGCCATCGCCCGCGATGCACTCCTCGTCTCAGCCGCCGGATCAATCCACCGGTGCGCCAGCGACTGCGACCCCCATCACAGACTCCGAAAGTGCGACCGCACCGACGACCATGCCTACGACGACAGACGCCACCGCTGCTGTCGGGGCTGCGGCGGGTGTCGACTCCCGGAAGGACGACGCGACCTCCATCGCGACAACGGCCCCTACCACCAACACAGAGCCTCATGCAGCTATTCCCCACAATCATGCGCCTTCAGCCGCGACAGAGTCTCCGTCTACAACTCAGCATGCAGCCCAATTTCCCCCAACGGCCGACAGCTCTTCTCTCGCCCCTTCCAGGCCTCCCGGTGCTTCCTTACCAAGCTCAGACGTTCAGTCACAACATCAGGACAACCGACCGGCCACGCCCCATAATCAGACAGATGCCACGATGACTGATGCACCCCAGATTGGTTCATCTCAGGTTGACCCTGCGTCTCTCCCGCCGCCTCCTCGGCCTGCACAAGAATCAAGTTCTGCTGCACAGACCGAGACAGCAAATCCTTCCCACATGGATATCGAGCACGGCGACAGGCATCCAAAGACCGAGGCCACCACAGCAATTGCTCAAGAGAGTGTGCCGAACAATGCACCACAGAATGACGCTACTGTGCCCTGGACTCCGAATCCAACGGCAAACTTGCCTCCATCAACTCCCACGACGAACGCCTATAAAGAACACAGAAATTCCTACAGCGAGACATTCAACCATCATGCCGCCCTTATGATGGCTCTGGCCACAATGCACACTGACCGAAATATGATGTCTCACCAACAGCTTGAGCAGACCGTGACACCCTCTCAGGTCACTCTTCCACCCCCATTAGAGGTCGGCCCTCTCCAGGAAAGGAACGGGATGTCGGTCCAGGATAGATTGACCAATTCCGACCGCCATCTCGAGTCGTTCGCTCGGATTGAGTTTGCGGACAGTGTCTTCCAAATGACCACATACGAAGTCGTGATCGGCCGCGATCAACGGGCTCTCAACCAGGCTCGCCGGGACGAGAAGCGCGCCAACGAGTATAAACAAAAAGCAGAGAACAACGCTCGTTTAGGTCTCTCTCCACCACCACCCATAACCCATGACCGTAGCAAATTTAGTAAATCATACGTCAGCGAGGAGGGAGGCATGCTTGGGCCCGAGTCGGATAGCGACGGAGATTTGAGACCAGCTAAAAGACGAAAAACAAGCACAGGAGGAGGTTCGTCCCATGATAACGAAGAGTCTCAAGAGAACATCATATCAAACCGCCAGTATGTTTCACACACTCCCGGTGCCGCAGCCGTCGACTTGGCCTCGTTACGGCCCAGTCCGCATCACGTTCCCTTTATCGGGATCCACTCTCCAGGACCGGACATCGCCAGCAAAACGAAGGCCATTTCTCGAGAACATCTCAAGATAACATACAATCAAAAAGAGGGTGTATTCGAGGCTGTCCCGCTGCATAAGAATGGTTTCTTTTGCGAAGAGGTCCATTATAGAAGCGAGAAGGTTATCCTGAAATGTGGTGACCGACTACAGATCAAAGATGTTGATTTCAGATTCATCATCAATGGTGTGGAGCGGGGGCGCACGGGTGCAGAAGAGTTCGCCGACGAAAAACCTGCAGCGAAGAAGCATTCTCAGGGTGGAAAAGAAATGAGTTTCGACTTTGAACAATCGCAAGACAACGAGCGGATGCAGGACACGAGTGACGAGTTGTCCGATGTCGAAGTCAGCCCGCCTGAGCTCTCAGACGGCGATGAAGCAGAGGAGGAAGAGGAGACAGGAGAGGTTGAGGTTGGCGAAGAAACTGCAGAACTTGAGGAAGTGGCACCAGAAGCGACAGCGACAACCTCGCAGCCTCTGCCGACAACCGAGACCGACCTGCTCTTACCACAAATACCCAAAAAACGAGGACCTGGTCGCCCTCCGAAGAACGGCATCATGTCCAAGCGAGAACAACGCCTCCTTAAAAAGCAGCAGCAAGAACTCGCCAAGAAGACAATCCCGCAGGTGCCCGCCATAGAACCGCCCATCAAACGCAAAGTTGGACGCCCTAGGAAACATCCTCTGCCAGATGACGCCGGTGACCGCCCTGAAAAGCGCAAATACAAACCACGGAAACCAAAGAATGAGGATGGGGTGGAAGGATCCGATGTTGAGCGGCCTCTTAAGGAGAAGAAGGAAAAGAAGGTACGACCGAAGTCGCCACCTCTGGAGCTCAAGATTGAGGATTACACAGCGGAAGATCTTCAGAAGCCGAATAAGAACTACGGCGTTCTCATCGACGAGACTCTTTCGGCAGCACCTGACGGACTCACTTTGAAGCAAATCTATAAACGAATTTGCCAACGATATCCATGGTTTTATTTCCACACAGAGACGAAAGGGTGGGAGAGCAGTGTTCGTCATAATCTCATCGGGAACGATGCCTTTAGGAAAGATGACACGACCAATGTCTGGCTACGGGTTCCTGGTGTTGAGCTAGATGCAGGCAAGAAGCGCAAAGCTACATCGCCTGATCGCAATCTGGCCGCCCAAAACTATGGTGCATACTCGTATCCGTACAACGCTGCTCATCATATGGTTCCTGGCGCTCCAGGCTATAACCCTGGGCAAGCCGCTCAAGGCTTCCAAGTTGCAAATTACAATGCGCAGCAGCAACACCAGCTTCAGCAACAGCAACCAGGTCAGGCTCCAAGGCCTGCTCAGCAACAATTCGGTTCAGGTCCACTCGCCGCTGGCCAACCTGCTCAGCCCACTGCCTCGCAGCCTCCTGCGCCCGCACAGGTACCAGGATACGGACCACAAGCTGCGGCTCCAGCTCGACCCCAGGCTGGAGCGACTCAGCAACCCGGAGCCTATAGTTCTCCGTATGCTTCAAGGCCACCACCCCCGGCAAATCTTCCTATCAAAACAGAGGATGGCGGCTCCACGACAACCATGTCCGCCGCTCAGCAAACACCTGTGCCGAAAGTCAATCCTGTGCAGGCTCAACGGGCCAGCACGACACCAGGTGTGTCGCCGGCCGTGCCCCAACAACAACCCCAACAGCAGCAGCAGCCGGTACCACAAGCAAGCCGACCTGCTGCAACGAGTCCTCCTGCGGCGCCACCGAAACCAATCATCGACCCCCGTCTACTCAATGCCGTGGTCAACTTGAAGAACGGTTTGATTGAGAATCTCAAAAGGGCCCGTAACCCTCACGCGGAAACTGTTGTATATTCCGCCATCAACCGCTGCGCCGGTCTTAAGACTGAGGGGGGAGAAAATGATAACGTCGAACGCATCTGCATCAAAGGCATCCGTCAGGTGGTCGACGGGTTCCTCTCCAAACATCGAAGCCCTACTCCAGGCGGGAGCTCTACTCAGGGCACTACTGAAGCTTCAGGAATGCTGGACCCTCATGCCCTGAAGACCCTTCTAGGATTTAAGAATGTGTCCTGCAGCACTCTCCAAGCCAGTCTCGGCGCTGCTCAAGCAGAAGCAGTAACACTATCTGCAATCGATCGTGTTCTCGGCCTCTCTGATGTGAGCCTAGTCCGCGATAACGAAAGGTTGACGTCTCTGGAAACGAGCCTTATGCAAACAACCCGGCAACTTCTTACCACCCTCGAGAAGAGCAGGGTCCAGGGCCTCACGTCTTCAAAATAAATCTGCCAAGTGGGTATTGGTGTAAGCGAGGAGCGCAAGCGAATATAGCAAGCGATTGATTCCTTTTTAATCCTCCTCACTTGAACTCGGAACCCCCTTTTTTTCTTTTAAGTTGCTTTACGAGACATGACTGGTTTACAGCTAGCTGCTTGAATTATTAATAGCATGACCATATATTATGGGCAATGTTTGGAGTCGGTATACCCCCGGGATGTCATGTCTTAATCACGATAGAGATTCGGAAATTGGGCGGGTGGATGGACTTGTTAGCGAACAAAGAGCACGAGCAAGCAAAAAAAAAAAACAAGAATCTGAACCAAAATTGATTTGAAACATTGCATCCTCCCCATCCATCCTATTTACTATATTCTATATCGCCGATCCGTCATCTCCCAACATAAAGGTTATTCTAATTATCATACAACTGACTCTCTCTCCTCATACGGACGTAAGAAAGCGAAGTAGGTATCATTGAAATTAAACGAAGAATGCTAAAGTATGCCTTCCCCAAAATCTCTCTTCACCCCGATTGCCCACGAATCAACTCGTTTATAGATTGGCCCCGCGAGACCTGCGAGAGAAAAATACAGGCGGGGGGGGGAAATTGCAAA